CTTCCCAGTGTCCCCCCAGTGCTTCAGTCCTTTACTCCCCACCCCCTATATATCACCCCCCCATACAGCCCACCCTTACATATCACCCCCTATCTAGAGTTCCTCTAAACAGCCCACCCCTATATATCACCATATATCTGTATACTGCTTCTATATACAGCTCCCCTGTACAGCTTGCTGCCTATGTATCTCACCTCTTATTACACCATCCTCCCGACACAGCCCAGGCCCTAAACATCACCCCCTTATATCACTCTACTGTACAGCCCACCCCTATGTATCACTCCCCCACATAGCTCACCCACTAGATAGCTCCCTCCATATACCATGCCCCTATATAGCCCACCCCTCTATATCCCACCCTGACACAGCCCAGCCCTTACACACAACCCCCCGTACACCACATCCCTATACAGCACACACCAACATATCACACCCCCTGTACAGAGCTCTGTATCACAGCCCAGCACACAGCACCCTCTCTGTACCACCTCCTGTATACAGCCCACTCCCCACATATCAGACCCTCTGTACAGCCCACCCTACACAGCCCAGCTCCCATACATCCCCTCTATACATTCCAACACATGCAGTGTCCCCTACATTGACACGTGGAGCCCTGCCCAGGGTTGGGACAGTGTGGCACAGCATGGCCCAGCACAGCACACACGGCACGGCACAGCAGGGCACGGTGCTGTACATGTGGCACACGCGTCACAGTACACGTCCCATGGCACTGTGACCCCCAACAGTGTGACACCCCTAGCACGGTGAGAGACCCCTGCCATGGCCCAGCCCACCATGGCACAGTGCCACACACCTGGTCAGGGCACAGTGTGGCACCCCCAGCATGGTGACAGGCTCCTGCCATGGCACCCCATGGTGCCCCCAGCCCAGCCCAGCACCCCTCCCTGGGGCTCTCCATCACCCAGCCCCTTCTCTCCAAATCCTTTATTGCCATGTCCCAGCCCCCCACACTGGGATTCCCTGGAAGCACAGGACTGAGAGAAGTGGGCGGAATGCCAGATCCTGCCCAACAGCGGGACCAGTTCCTGGAGCGGGGAAAACACCTGGCAGGGTGGGGGACACCCCAAAAACCCCCATTAGATACGGACAGTGTTGATCCGCAATGGCTGCACATTCTTCCCGTTGGCGTGGCTCTGCCCAGGACTGAAATATGAGCACAGCTTCCCAGGAAACCTCTCCCGGAAGGTGTAGAGCCAGGACATGTCGTCAGCATTGTAGAAGATGAGAAGCCCCTTATCGTAGTCCAGGAAGACGCCCACCTTCTCCAGCTTGCCCTTGACGTTCAGCCGCGTCCAGGGCTCAGTGCAGGCACTGTACTGGTTCCCGTCGTGCATCACGATGCAGTAGAACCCGCGGCTCGGCTGGATCTGGATGCTGCCCTTGCGGGTCACGGCCTCGTGGGCCAGGCCGATCATCCACTGGGTTTTTTCAGACACCACCACCTCCCAGTAGTGCACCCCAGCACCAAAGGCCTCGGTGCCCAGCACCGACACCTCCACGTCAAAGCGCCGGGGCGAGTCCTGCAGCGGGTGTGGGTGCAGGTTGCCATAGGCCACGATGGTGCAGTCGTCTGAGAGGATGAGGCGGTGGTGGGCAGTGCCGGGGTCCAGAGTCAGTGCTGCTGGCACTGGGACAACAGGGACAGGGGGAACGAGGGTTAGTGCAGCCCTGGTGCTCTGTCCCACCAGAGTGACAACCAGCATGGGTGGAAGGTCACTGGGGTGGCCCTGTCCCTATCCCTCACAGGGGTGTCCTGCCCTCATGCTCATCTTTTGTCAGTGATGTCCCTGTCCCTCACTGGTGTGTCGCTGCTCCTCATCACTCGTGTCCCAGACCCTTCTCAGTAATGTCCCCATCCCTAGTCAGTGACATCCCCTTCCCTCACAGGTGATGTCCCCTTCCCCATCCCTCACTGGTGTGCTCCTGTCCCTGGTGACCGCCCCATCCCTCACGGCTCCCCCGTCCCTGTGCTCTCACCAGGATGGATGTCCTGGAAGAGGGATTTCCAGATGGTGTACTGCAGTGGACCCATGTACTTGGAGGTGGGAAAATCCTCATAGGTCAGGTTGGTCTCGTGGATCTTTCCCTTCAGCCTGCAGAGAACACACGGTGCCAAGGTGGGGGTGACACCAGGGACCCCACCGTCCCCTCACTGCCACCCACCTCTCAGAGAGGGAGGCCATGCCGGCCAGGAAGACGTGTTTATCCGCCTCGGCCAGGCGCTCCTGCAGGATCTGGGTGCCCTCCTGCACCTTGCGGAGCTGCTGGCTGTAGCGCTGGATCTTGTGCTCGATGTCGCTGAGCGTGCGCGCCGTGTCAGCCTCCAGCTCCTCCAGCATTGCCTTCTGCCGCTCCCGCAGCAGCCGGTGCAGCCGCTCAAACGCCTCCCCGATCGTCGCCCGCAGGCTTTTGGCTGAGGACTTGAGGTGCAACGGGGGGTTAAGAACACCTAAAGCTCTGCTGGCCAACCCATGAGTTCCTTAATCCCCAAATAAATATCTAAAAGGGCATCAGATCAGGGAATTCTGGGGGCTACAAGGGTGGATTTGATCTTGCACCCTTAAAAATGGAGTAAAAGGATCCTAGAACCACCGAAAGAGCCTTCCAAAGAACCCTAGGAGAACCTCCCCCAAAAAACTTAAAAGAACCCAAAAAAAATCTCCCAAAAATCCTGAAGTAATCCTTAAAGAACCTCCCAAAGATCCTACAAAAGGACCTTAAGGAATCTCCCCAAGAAACCTAAAAGAAACCTAAAAGAATCCTCCAAAGAACCTTAAAACAATTTCCAAAAGAACCCTGAAAAACCTCCCAAAAAACTTTGAAAAGCTCTTAAAGAATCTTTAAAGAAACCCTTTAAATACCCTAAAAACCCCCCTAAACCCAATCAAATTACACCTTAAAACCTCCTAAAAAACCCAAGAAACTAACCTAAACTAAAAAGACCTCCTAAAATAACCCCGAAAAACTAAAAAAAAACCCACATCAGTTGCTGGTGGGGATGGGGAGAAAATTGAACCTTAATGGACACTGAACCCTTGAGTGAGGAGATAATTAATTAAATTCATTAAAAAGATAAATCCAAGCAGCACTGCAAGAAGTTATAGAGGGATGAGCAGCTCCACTGGGGTACCACAGAAGGAAAAAATGGGGTAAATCCATGCAATTGTAAAGTTTGGAGTGTTTGGAAGTCCCAAAATAAGGCTGGTGAGGGTCAGGGCTGGGGTATCACCAGGGTGGCAATGAGACTGACCCCAACTCTGCTTTGGGGGGCTGTGAAATGGGGAAAAATGGGGGTTCCCAGGGGTGACAGCGGTGTTCCTACATGTACCTTGGTCTCAGCCAGCTGCTTCTTGAGGAGCTGCAGAGCTTCTGTGTGGCTACGCTCACTCTCCTGCAGCCCCTGGAGTTGCTCCTTCAGCTCCCGCTGGGGACAGGGAGGGAAAATCCATAAATAGGTCATTTGTGGAAAAAAGGGATCCCACACGGTGCTTTCTCACATAAACCAACCATGGAGTTATGGGGCTGTGGAATGAGGGTCCTGCCTGGGGTGGGGGATTACAGGTCCTGCCTGGGGGACAGCTTAGCCATGGGGTGATTTGAGGGTTCCCAAAAACTCACAGTGGCGATGGAGAAGGGGGATCCCAGAGGGACAGTGGTGGAAGTGTGGATGGAAGTGTGGATGGATGGATGATGGATGGAGGGATGGATGATGGATGGATGGATGGAGGATGGATGGATGATGGATGGAGGGATGGATGATGGATGGATGGATGGAGGATGGATGGATGATGGATGGAGGGATGGATGATGGATGGATGGATGGAGGATGGATGGATGATGGATGGAGGGATGGATGATGGATGGATGGATGGAGGATGGATGGATGATGGATGGAGGGATGGATGATGGATGGATGGATGGAGGATGGATGGATGATGGATGGAGGGATGGATGATGGATGGATGGATGGAGGATGGATGGATGATGGATGGAGGGATGGATGATGGATGGATGGATGGAGGATGGATGGATGATGGATGGAGGGATGGATGATGGATGGATGGATGGAGGATGGATGGATGATGGATGGAGGGATGGATGATGGATGGATGGATGGAGGATGGATGGATGATGGATGGAGGGATGGATGATGGATGGATGGATGGAGGATGGATGGATGATGGATGGAGGGATGGATGATGGATGGATGGATGGAGGATGGATGGATGATGGATGGAGGGATGGATGATGGATGGATGGATGGAGGATGGATGGATGATGGATGGAGGGATGGATGATGGATGGATGGATGGAGGATGGATGGATGATGGATGGAGGGATGGATGATGGATGGATGGATGGAGGATGGATGGATGATGGATGGAGGGATGGATGATGGATGGATGGATGGAGGATGGATGGATGATGGATGGAGGGATGGATGATGGATGGATGGATGGAGGATGGATGGATGATGGATGGAGGGATGGATGATGGATGGATGGATGGAGGATGGATGGATGATGGATGGAGGGATGGATGATGGATGGATGGATGGAGGATGGATGGATGATGGATGGAGGGATGGATGATGGATGGATGGATGGAGGATGGATGGATGATGGATGGAGGGATGGATGATGGATGGATGGATGGAGGATGGATGGATGATGGATGGAGGGATGGATGATGGATGGATGGATGGAGGATGGATGGATGATGGATGGAGGGATGGATGATGGATGGATGGATGGAGGATGGATGGATGATGGATGGAGGGATGGATGATGGATGGATGGATGGAGGATGGATGGATGATGGATGGAGGGATGGATGATGGATGGATGGATGGAGGATGGATGGATGATGGATGGAGGGATGGATGATGGATGGATGGATGGAGGATGGATGGATGATGGATGGAGGGATGGATGATGGATGGATGGATGGAGGATGGATGGATGATGGATGGAGGGATGGATGATGGATGGATGGATGGAGGATGGATGGATGATGGATGGAGGGATGGATGATGGATGGATGGATGGATGGAATGGGGCTGACCCCAATGCAGACAAAAGGGTTGTGGGGACAGACAGACAGATGGCAGGAAGGCACAGAGCTGACCCCAGTGGGGACATGAGGGGTGAGCAACAGAGACAGGAGGGAGCCATGGCACTGACTCCAATGGGGAAAAGAAGGAGCGTGGGGAAACACAGGGTGCAGGGACACACAGGCAGGAGGAAGTCACAGGACAGACCCCCATGGGGACAGGAGGGGTGCAGGGACAGACAAAATGACAGGATACAGGCACAGGGCTGACCCTAAGAAGGAAAAGGAATGCAGGGACAGATGGACTGGAAGAAGCTGCAGGACTAACCCCAAAGGGGAGAGATGGGGTGCAGGAACAGACATACAGAAGGAAAGAACAGGGCTGACCCTGAGAAGGAAAAGAAGGGGTGCAGGGATGGACAGATGGGAGGAAGCCACAGGACTGACCCCCACAGGCTCAGGACGGGTGCAGCTCAGGACAAAAGGGAAGGGCACTACCACGGAAGCGAGAGGGACCAGCCAGATACAGCAGCCTCGAGGAGCCACTCAGGGCAGGGAACGCTACAGGGACTCACCTGCAGCTCCTCGAAGGCATCGTCCACGTTGGTAACCTGGTGCTGCTCGTGCACGGCCGGCTCATCACAGAAGAAACAGACGACGGCACGGTCAGTGAGGCAGAAGAGCTTCACCTTCTCGTGGTCCTTGCAGGGGAAGGAGCTGCGCTGGGCCCCCAGGATAGCGTCCAAGGGGAAGGCGCTGTAGCGCTCCACGATGTTGGCCAGCTTGAGGCTGGGGGCCAGCGTGGGCTCGGGGAAGGTGCGGCGGCACTCAGGGCAGTCGCGGGTGCCCTGCGGCTCCTGGCGCACCCAGTGCTCGGTGATGCAGCGGCGGCAGAAGTAGTGCTCGCATCCCAGCCCCACCGGGTCCTGGTAGATGCTCAGGCAGATGGAGCACAGCAGCTCGTCCTTGAGGCTGCACGCCATGTCTGGGGGCTGGGGAGAGGGGCACGGGGTCAGGGGGAGGCTGGTGAGGGACAGACAGGGTCAGGAGGGCTTGGGGAGAGGGTGAATGGGGGATTGTGGGGAGGGGGACCATGGGGGGACAGGGTAAATGGGGGGCTTGGGGTGATGGCAGGAGTGTGAATAGGGGGCTTTGGATCGAGAGAGGAGGACGAATGAGGGGGCTTCAGAGGGGAGAGGGTAAAAGGGGGGCTTGGGGTAGAAGCAGTTGTGGGGGGGGGTTGTGGGGGAGAGGGTGAGTGAAGGCCTTGGATTGATGGGGAGAGGGGGAATGAGAGGGTTTGAGGCAGGAGGGTAAAAGGGGGGCTTC